ACAGCTTTAAGGATTTCAATGTTTTTTTCAACTCTGCTTGATGCCAACATGTTGGGCTATAAAAGTATTTCCCACTTGGTGACCCAATCTATAATTTCACATGAGAAAGAATTCTCCACTCTAAGTCATTTTTCTTTTAAGACAGGGTCTCACTCCTGTGGCCCAGGCTAGAGTGTAGTGGTGTAATCATGGCTCACTGCAGCCTTAGCATCCTGGGCTCAGGTGATTCTGCCACCTCAGCCTCCTGAGTAGCCTGGACTACAGGCATGTGCCACCATGCCTGGCTAATTTTTTGTATTTTTAGTAGAGGCAGGGTTTCACCATGTTGCCCAGGCTGGTCTCTAACTCCTGCTCTAAAGCGATTTGTCTGCCTCGGCCTCAGATGATTTTATTTTTGTCTCCCTAGAATTTCTGATGGCTGGGTGCTCAGGCCTGATTAGCACGGAGACATATTGCTCCTGAAGTTTGCTGGAAGGAGAATCTGGAGCCTCACAAATGGGGTTGCTAATGTCATTCTCCAAATTCTAGAGGTGATTGCTGAGTTATGTGCACACCTGGCATGGGTTTTGGTACAATTTATCATTCCTCCATGGGATAGTATTTACATGGAAGGTCATTATATTAAATGCAGCTTTGAAATAAAGAAATCTCATGCTACTCACTTCTGTTGGCCCCATCAGAAGTTTATTATGGCAAAGAACACAAATTATGTGTGCAAAAGTCATTAGTTTGCTTGTTCACTTGCTCTTTCTCAATCTCTCTCTCCCTGTCTCTGTCTGTCTGTCTCTCACTCTTGAGTAATAAAAAATGATTAATGGAGTAGGCTTAGTTTCGATGAATTCTGTGTGAAGTTATTTTACATCAAATGAATTTTTTTCCATAATACTCTATTTCCATCTCTGCTATACCATTGCCTTTTTGTTTGAATTAATGCAATAATATTACCAAAGTCATCCTCCATTACACTACCATTTGCTTTCACATTCAAGGCAACAATGTCATTTCCAGATGAAACTATTTATCCTTGTTAAAACAGACAAGGCAGTTGATACATTCAGACTCAATTACTAAGTTGCATGATTGATTCCAAGATAGAACTAAGAGCTAAGGCAAATGAAACTTGTCACTAACTGCGCAGTATGTTTTTCTTCTGCTAGATCTGATGGAAGAAAGATACACATAGCTGGATCTAAGAGGGAAGCAAAAGGGAGTTAGCCCAGATCAGTTCCCAGGAAACAGACTCTAAGAGAGAGTTTAGAATGCTAGATGTTTATTAAGGAGTGCCCTTAAATCAATACCTGGGAAAGAGAGAGAGGAAGCAGCAGTGGACTGAGGGAGAAGGTGAGCTGGATGTAAGTCCAGTGATGGACCCTACTGACTGAGTAAGGAACTCTGAAACTGGAAGGACCCTTCAGTGTTGTACTGATTAGCCAAGGTGGCCAGGCCTTGTACCACTTTGTTGATCAGTTGTTGGTGTGAACTGTCCTGGGCAGGGACATGATTCTGGGTGAGGTGGCTTTTTATAGCTGAGGCAGTCCTTGAAAAGGTTGATAGTTGAAGGTTGTCTGCTGGATTCTAGGTCCTAGATTCCAGGTCAGTGATTCTCAACCAGAGATGATTTTTTCCCCTGGGGGCATTTGACAATGTCTAGAAATATTTCTGATGAGCACAACTGGAGAGATGCTACTGATATCTAGCTGGTAGCATCCAGGGGTGCTGCTAAACTTCCCATAATGCACATAGCCTCCAATAACAAAGAATTATCTTGTCCAAAATATCAATAGAGCTGAGGTTGGGAAGCCCTGCTCTGGAGCAACAGAACCTGGTGGGCATCACAACTTCCACGCCAGGAGTCATCACTAATCAAGGTATTACTACTTCTCAGACACAATGCTCATGTTCTTTATTTCTCTTACTCCTCCTACAAACCCTTTGAGGCAGGCCTCAGAGTTTCCATTTACTAAAGAAAAAAACAGCACTCAGAGTAGTTCAGTAAACTGCCCCACATTATAAACTGGAAGGACACCAAGAAGTGAGTTAAAGCGGGTCATCTTGTTGAAAGCATTTTGCTATCTTCTGACTTTCCCTTTGAAAGAGTTCAGAATATACAACCCAAAATATGCCCCTCTGGCACATTGACTATTTTGAGTCAAAGGCACTTAAAAAAAGGGCAGGTGCCAAAGAACACTCTTGCAGTCCTTTTTAAAAGGAGGAGATAAAACTTTCCACGTGAAATATATCCTCCCTGTACGAGCAGAAAAGTGTCATTCTTATCATCAAGGATGGGAAGTTGAGGCCACTGGAAATCTGTCCAAACACACCTTGTTAAACTAACGCTTGTCTTTCTTCTTACTTCACCCAATTAACTACCCTAGCCCAAGCCCCTTTACCTTGTCACATCTTCATAATCTACTACTCTTTGCCCAATTTAGTATGTAAGTGTTTAACTGCATCTTTGAGTCATCATTTTCTTATGAAGCATCCAATGCCACATAAAACTTGAATTAAATAAATTTGTATGTTTTTTTTTTCCTGTTAATCTGTCTTGTGTCAATTTAATTATCAGCCACAACTGAAAAACTCTAAGAAGGTAGAGGTAAAATCTTACCTTCCCTACACCTTGATGGCTCAATGCAGCCGTTCTCAAACATTTATTTTTCTCTCCAGACATGAGATATATGATGCTCACATGTTTAGTTTGCTTCCATGGAATTCCCGGGGCTCAAGCTGTAAACTCACTTTTATCCCACTTAAAAGGTACAATGGAACATGGCTGGCATGGCACAAATATAGGGATGACTCTTAATCCTCTGTAATTTGTATTTTTAAGTAGACTATTCTTGAACTCTAAGTCCTCTCTAATCGTAACAAATATACAGTAAGCTTGCAGTTGATCTTCAGAGTAACGTCTATTGGTAGTCTTGGTGAATGCCCGTAAAGAGACTTTGCGTTACACTGTTGCTTCATGATCTGTATCACTGAATGATTAAATCAGTCAAGAACATTCTTCAGATGTTATTGGTACCTCAAGAACCCTCAGAATCAAAGCATTGACTCATAAATTTAATTTAAAAAGAGCAGCTACTATGTTCCAGAAACTGTTCTACTTTCTCTTTATAAACAGTAGAATTTACTATTAATAGTAAAGGCTTCCACAGGAACAGAAAAAAGCATATATCGTTTTACAGACATACAGTTGGGAATAAACAAACTTAGGCTGTGTAATAGCGTTAATAGAAATAAAAGGCAGTATACATTTAGCCAAAAGATATGAACAAAAAGGACTTAAGTATTTTATTATTATTGACCTCAATAGTAATGTTAGTTATTATGGTCCATAGCAGCTGCAGTTTTTAGATTCTAACATAGTGCCAGTAACTTAAAAAATTCTGTCATTAATTCCAACAGCACATTTCTTTTTTTCACTTTTTGTTTTATAGATTTAGGGGGTACAAGTGCACTTTTGTTACATGAATATACTGTGTAATGGTGAAAACTAGGCTTTTAGTGTACATACACTGTACCCTTCAGGTAGTTTCTCACCCCTTGCCCCCTTCCACCTTTCTGAGTCTTCAATGCATTATTCCACTCTCTATGTCCGTGTGTATTCATTTCTTAGCTCCCACTAAAAATGAGAACATGTGATATTTGTCTTTCTGTGACTGAGTTGTTTCACTTAAAGTAATGGTCTGTAGTTCCATCTATATTGCTACAAAACACATGATTTCATTCTTTTTTGCGGCTGAGTAGTAGTCCATCTGCCATCTTTTTCTTTATCCAGTTCTCCACTGATGGACACTTAGGTTGACTCCATATTGTTACTATTGTGAATAGCACTGTGATAAATGTAGGAATAGAGGTTTTTTAAAAAATAATAATTTTTTTTTCCTTTGAGTAGATACTGGGCAGTGAGATTGTTGGATGGAATGGTAGTTCTATCTTTAGTTCTTTGAGAAATCGCCATACTGTTTTCTGTAGAGGTTGTACTAATTTACGTTCCCACTGACAGTCCAGAAGACATTTCTGTATGGTGGGCATTATCTCCATTTTGCAATTGAAAAATACAGACTAGAAAGAGTAAAACAATTTGGTTGAATTTACACAGAAATCCATTGGCAGAGAAAGTTGCCACACCCAGACCACTTTCTATAGCTAGAAAACGTAATTTAGAGTGAAATGTACATTTACATTTGTCAATTCATTTTTTTCAATCAAATTCTTTAAACAATGCAAAGCAAAATATGGCATAAGCAGTAGTGTGCTGGTAAATGTTTAAAGACTGGCTGTCAAAAAAGGCGTATGTTTTATATAAGCTTCTTTTAAATTTTACTGACATAAAGAACATGTAGCATACAATTTACATATTATAATAATATAGGTAATACTCTTTATTATACATTCTAAATAGTTGATTGATTTTCATAGAATGCTTTTGTTGAATTCTACCTAAAATGTTTATCCATAGCCAGTCTGTGATTTTAACTGTCTCACAATATGGGTCATGAATGTTAATTGATGTTTTCAGATTTTAAGCAACTGATGTGACATCATGTACCATGGAGCTGGGAAGAGAGACTTGTGTAGTATTTCACTGTACACATATGACAGACATACGTAATCTCAAGAGCATAGGTAATAGTCAGATGTGCAAAGTAATTAGAAAGGGATGAGTTCTGACTATTGGTTATCTGTGTTTTGATATCATTTATTTCATTGTAGGTTTATATAATTTAATTTCTTAATAATAGCTGTTTAACAATTTTTTCACAAGATTCCTGACAACTTAGCAGATGGTTCTTGTGAGCTGATGTAGCTGCTGATAGGGAACAGTTACCAGCTAATCAAATATCCCCATTTCCAGTGTCCCCTACTCCAACTCATAGCTCTGAATATGTAAGTAGAGGGCATCCCATTATCAAGCAAAATAGATGTTGAGATAGATGGTGTTGAGTAGATTTGTTTCTTTAATATTTATTGTTATTTTTGTGGTTTATTCACAGGCATTTCCCTGCATCTCAACAGGCATTTATGGTAAGTGATACAGCTTTTGATGATGTTTGTATTTCTTTATTTTGCTGTTGAATGCAGAGATTAAGTGAAAAAATAAGAGGTTCTCTGATTAATATATTTTGCTGAGATTTAAAGAGACTAAAAATGCTGGTCAAATCCCATTAAAGAATGTCATGAGGCTATTCAGATTCTTTTGTGTTCTTGAATTTTGTTGTATTGGGTATCACATGAAATTATTTGATACATGTGGCTTGACGTTTTTTGTTAAACAAAAAATTTGGTTCTAGTAGGATTGACCTCTAATATTTCTTTAATGAAATCAAATTTCTTCTCAGTAGAAAGCATAATGTACATAGAGTTGAGCAGTATCATTAAATTGTTGCTATTTACAAAATAATAGAAAAATTAAAATGCATACATATGCATGTATCTGTGTTTTCAAATTTTAAAAAAGCCCAAAGAGTGACTTTTACTAAATATGAAGAATTTTAATAAACTGCAAATTTTTTTTCTGCGTAGTGATGGATTGTTTTAAGTAGTGAATGCTTCACTTACAGATAGAAGCAAAATATTTTTTAATCACTTGTTTTCACTAGCCTAAAGCTCTCTAAATATTCTTCCACCTACCTGCAAGAACGTTTTTTATAATTTTTTTCAGACCATTAATAAGTCTGTTTTATAATATTAAGGATTTTCTGATCCAAGTAAAATAGATTACATTCTTTCTGAACTCAAACTTCTCACATAGAAGCTGTCAGCTGAAGCATAAAATATGTATAAATCTAATATATATGTATATATTTTAAATTCATTATAACAGTGAAGGACCACCTAGATTGATGTCAAATGTAGGAGCTTTATTATTTTTTTTCTGAATCTGGTATTTCTTTTGAAGATCTTGAGCAAAACAAAATGGGAAATGTAGGCCTGAACCAAATTAAGTGAGAAAGTATTTTGTCACACTATTTAAAAATTTAAGGTGTGCCTTCTTCCTCTCCAGGTTCCCCTACAGCCTGTCTTTGTGGGAACAGGATGAGCACTGGGCTGGAGGGGGCTAAACTAGACCATCTGCACAATTATCCCCATCATGGCCATTCTTTCTGCCTTACAAATGCCCAATAAGAAACCTTAAATATTTGCTTAAAGGAAGTATTAGGTACAAAGTTATGCCTGGCAAATACCCTAACTCTTTATTTCGCCTTAGTCAAACCAAATTTCATTGCAGAAATGGTTTTTATTATAAGAATGTTCTTTCATTGCAGTCTTGATTTTCCTTGCCAAAAAAACAAATAAACAAAAACCTAACTGCCTACACCAATACTATGTACATCATTTTCTATGTTTATTACCTTGTCAGAGAGTTGAAGTATGTTTTGCTTCTGAGAATCTTATGGTAATGTGTAAAGAGCCTCAAAGAGGGAATTGATGTAATATATATGGTATACTATAAATAGGGGAGTGGTGGGAAAGGAAAACAGCAAAGTAAAGGAAGATAGGAAAGGACCATAAAATTAGAGGCTCCAATATGATCATGTCAATAGATGCAGAAAAAGCAGTTGATAAAATCCAGCATCCTTTATGATAAAAACCCTCAACAAAATAGGCAGAGAAGGGATTTACATTAAAGTAATAAAAGCCATAAATGACACACCAACAACCAACATCATCCTGAATGGGGAAAAGTTAAAAGCATTCCCCTTGAGAACTGGAACAAGACAAGGATGCCCATTTTCACCACTTATATTCAACACAGCACTGGAAATTTTAGCCAGAGCAATCAGACAAGAGAAAGAAATAAAAGGCATCCAAGTGAGAAAAGCGGGAAGTTAGACTGTTGCTATTCTCTATAATATGATCATTTACTTAGAAAACCTAAAACTCACACAAAAAGTTCCTCAAAATGATAAACGAATTCAGTAAAGTCTCAGGATACCAAATCAATGTACAGAAATCAGTAGCACTGGTATAAACCAACAACAACCAAGTTGATAATCAAATCAAGAACTCAATCCCTTTCACAAGAGCTGCCAAAAAAAAAAAAAAGATAAAATATTTAGAATTATACTTAACCAAGGAGGTGAAAGATCTCTACAAAGAAAACTGTGAAACACTGCTGAAAGAACTCACAGATGACACAAACAAATAGAAATATATCCCATGCTCATGGATGGGTAGAATCAGTATTGTGAAAATGACCATACTGCCTACAGATTCCCACCAAAATACCATCATCATTCTTCATAGAACTAGGAAAAAAAGCCTAAAATTCATATGGAACCAAAAAAAGAGCCTGCATAGCCAAAGTAAAATTAAGCGCAAAAAAAAAAAAAAAAAAAAAAAAATCTCGAGGCGTGACATTACTCAACTTCAAATTATACTACAGGTCTATAATTAACAAAACAGCATGGTACTCCTATAAAGTAGGCACATAGACCAATGGAACAGAAAAAAGAACCCAGATATAAAGCCAAATATTTACAGCAAACTGATCTTCAACAAAGCATACAAAAACATAAATTGGGGAAAGGATATCCTATTCAATGAATGGTGCTGGGAAACCCAGCAAGCCACAAGTAGAATGAAACTGGACCCTCATTTCTCACTTCACACAAAAATCAACGCAAGATGGATCAAACACTTAAATGTAAGACCTGAAACCATAAAAATTCTGGAAGATAACATCAAAAAAACTCTTTTAGACATTGGCTTAGGCAAAGAATTAATGACTAAGACCTCAAAAGCAGATGCAACAAAAACAAAAATAAATAATTGGGACCTAAATTAACTAAAAAGCTTTTGAACAGCAAAAGAAATAATCAGCAAGCAGACAATCCCCAGAGTGAGAGAAAATATTTGCAAACTATGCTGTGACCAAGGACTAATACCCAGAATCTCTACAGAACTCAAACATATCAGCAAGAAAAAAAAATCCCATCAGAAAGTGGGCAAAGGACATAAATAGACAATTCTCAAAAGAAGATATACAAATAGCCAACAAACATATGAAAAAAATGCTCAGCATCACTAATTATCAGGGAAATGCAAGTTAAAACCACAATGAGATACCATCTTACTCCTGCAAGAATGACCATAATTAAAAAGTCAAAAAACAATAGATGTTGGGGTGGATGTGGTGAAAAGAGAACACATTTACACTGCTGATGGGAATGTAAATTAGTACAACCATTATGGAAAACAGTATGGAGATTTCTTAAAGAGCTCAAAATAGAACTACCATTTGATCCAGCAATCCCGCTACTGGGTATTTACCCAGAGGGACAAAAGTCATTATATGAAAAAGACACTTTCACATGCATGTTTATAGCAGCACAATTCACAATTGCAAAGATGTGGAACCAACCTAAATACCCATCAACCAATGAGTAGGTAAAGAAAATGTAGTATGGATATACCCCATGGAATACTACTCAGCCATGAAAAGGAATGAAATAATGTCTTTTGCAGCAATTTGGATGGAGCTGGAGGCCGTTATTCTAAGTGATGTAACTTAGAAATGGGAAGCCAAGTATTGCATGTTCTCACTTATATGTTAGAACTAAGCTATGAGGATGCAAAGGTATAAGAATGATATCATGGACTTTGGGGACTTGAGGGTGAAGGGTTGGAGGAGTGTGAGGGATGTAAAACTGTCTATTGGGTGCAGTGTACACTGCTTAGGTGACAGGTATACCAATATCTCAGACATTACGACTAAAGAATTTATGCTTGTAACCAAAAACCACATGTACCCCCAAAAATATTGAAATAAAAATAAAATTTAAAAAAAGTTTAAAAAGACATTTAATCACTATGATACAAAAAAAGCAGAAGAAAACACATTTTCCAATACAGTAGCCATAACTTAAAAATAGTCAAGTATCTCATGAGATCTATAATATGATATTTATCTACCTATACTTCATTAACAATTCATCATTCACTTAAAATTTGTTCAACACACAATGTAATAATTTAAACACACACACAAAAGAATTGCTAGGTCATATTATATGGATATGGTTAACTGTATTGTGAAACACCAAACTGTTTTCTAAAGTGATTGAATCAATTTATACTCCTACCCACTCTACCCACTCCGTTTGAAGATCACCATGTTCCCTGTCCTCCCCAGTGTCTGATATTGCCAGTCTCTAAAATTGTTGCCAATTTATTGAGTGTGAAATTTTATCCCAGTGTGGTTTAAATTTGTGTTTTCTTGATTATTAATAAAATGAGCTTTTTAAATATCAAAAAAAAGAGTCTCCAGAGTGGACAGTAAGAACTAACTAAATCTAGAGTGGATCATGTTCCATTTTAATCTGTGAAGAATAGGGATTTCACCCTAGAGAGAGCAATGTGGTTCAAAATATAATAACTGGTTCAGTACACCATTGTGGCAAATGGGAGGGAAACAGCAAAGATTGCTGGGCATGGCAGCAATAGAGTGAGTCACGTTAGCTGGCTTGGAGGGCTGTCACCAGGCAAGTTTAGTCATTTTCACAATGCCAGGTCAAAGAAAACACTTCTTAAGTCCTGGCTAGTTGACTCTTTCCCCTCTGTTTTTTGGTAAATTTAAAAGTGAGACTGATATACATAAAGGTCATGTGCCATATTGGTTTTGGTTAATCCCACTGGGATTGAAACCTAGCTTTCCTTTTAGCTTCGTAGCATCCTGTTTCAGTAACTTTAGATGGCTACATCTCTGTGGTTTATAGACCATTCAGCATTATGCAACTTGAAAATTACTTCATATGTCCTGCATTAGTCCACTGTCATGCTGCTGATAAAGAAATACCCGAGACTGGGCAATTCACAAAAGAAAGAGTTTAATTGGACTCACAGTTCCACAACCCTGGGGAGGCCTCACAATCACGGCGGAAGGCAAGGAAAAGCAAGTCATGTCTTACATGGATGGCAACAAGCAAAAAGAGAGCTTGTGCAGAGAAACTCCCGTTTTCAAAACCATCAGATCTCATGAAACACATTCACTATCACCACAGTAGCACGGGAAAGACCCACCC